CGATGAAGTTGTTGTTGTTGATGGCAGTGATGACGGTGTGGAGGAGGAAGGGATTGGTTTTATTAGTTCAACTTGTAAATCACCTCCAGAAATAAAACCCAATGATCAACAAAATAGGAATTATAGTTATAATCCAAACACAGAGAAAATTAAACCTAAAACGGTACAATCAGCATCAACAATACCTACATTAGAATTGTCGTTGTCATCATCGTTACAAGTATCAAACTCAGTAACATCATCAAATATGGCAGAAAACTATCAAACTAATTTTTTTAATCATAATAACAATAATCTAGAAGAAGATGCTGCTACTACTAATATTGTCAATAATAACAACATTAACAACAACAACAACACCAACAACAACAAAGACATTCTAACATCAATGCCAAATGTTGTAATAAAAACTAATGGAGCTAACTATTCAATAAACCCAAATGACATGCCTTTGACAACAACAACAGCATCATCGTCCATGACAAATCTCAAAACATTAACAAAACAGTCTAAATCTGAAACACAACCGCCATCACTGCCATCAACAACAACAACTTCATCTTCTACTATTAAAATTCTAACAAATGATTCCTTAAATTCAACCACCGAAACCATTAATAATAATAACACCACATATACCAATGGAATCAATGGTACTATTACTTACACAAATGGTACTCTCACTAACGGCGCTACTACCAATTGTGGTATTAATGATAATAAGATGATAACATTCACATCATCATCATCATCATCATCATCATCATCATCATCATCATTAATATTAAAATTTATTAAATCTTTAAATCTACTGCCAAATTGTGTACTGCTATTATTATTACTACTATTACCATTAGTAATAGTATAAGTACTTGTTTTATTACTAGCGTTTTTCAATTCAACTATAATGTTATCAGTGCCACCAGCAGCTTTACCCAACATGAATTCCTCCGAATGAACTTGCAGAATATTATATAGATTATCAGTGGTAACAGAAATGTTTCTTGTTGTTTCTAACCATTTAGCCAAAATTCCTAATGTAGTAGCAGTTGTAGTAACTTGACAAGTTTGCTCAGAATCGTAATATAGCTTTACAGTATTAACTATAATTGAAATATTGTCAACGCTTATCGTTGACATTATTTTTTATTTTTTTATTAGAAGGTAGAAAAACGCGTAACTTTTTTTAGTCAAAAAGATTATTGGTGCTGGTTGTATATATCTTTAGAGAAAAAGTTATTATTACACAAAGCGAACGTAACACAATTTATTGGTGATCAAATTATTTTGAGAGATGGAACGATTTACAAAAATCGTGTTAATTACCAAATAATTACCATTATATGATATAAGCAATTTTGTTACTTAACAAACTTTTCCTATATGATAACATATGCAGGACATAAGTTCTGACAAAATTTAATAAATGGATCCTCTATTTTTAGAGGAGGCAGACCTGCATCAAAAACAGCTCGTGAAAGAAATCCATCCTTTTTTTTCCGTCCAAAAAACCTTTCATTTATTCATTTTTGTTGCTTAATTTTTTTAAAAATAGATTCTTAATAATAATGTTAATTTTACCCCTTCTTAGAAAATAATAGTTTTAACATTATTTAGAACATCTTTATAGGAAACCAATGTTTGCCCATTGAATATATGGTGAAATGTTTTAATATTTATCTTCTAATTTGTTAGATGAGTTCAAGGAACAATTAATGAATTATTGAAAGAAGCAGATAATCCAAAATGTAGTTAGTTATTTTGAAAATTGCCTTGCTTGTCAAGCATTATACTCTTCAATACTTGTATAATATTACATTATAATAAGGCAATAAAAATATTTATGTATACGTTATATTTGTTATCATTTGATATATTTCTAATTCCTTGATTTTTAATTCATTGTAAACGTGGTTGATGCAAAATATGGACGTAATGGCAGACAATATTGCTCAACCAGTAATATATCATTAAAACTTTTGGAAAACAAGATCTCCATCAAATTCGCCAGTAAGAGTGCAAAATATTGCTGAATTATAACTTGTAAAGGTTGACTTTCTCTGTATATGACATATACTGTAATTATCATTTGGTAAACTATTCAGTGATCTTACATATTAATGCCTTAACTCTTGAGTTTTGCACCCTACATTTTCATCATTATTTTCAACATAATCTTTCAAGATTATAAAAATAAAAACAAAAAAACAAAACAACGGGTGTTGTTTGACGGGGAAAAGGATTGGACGGATTGATAATTCATCCGATTAATAAAGTCACACCAAACTTACTATTACTATAGAGGATGAAACATGATCTTACAGAAACATGTTAATGCTTTGTAATACGGAGTAAAAAAATAAATGAATAATTGATTATATTTTAATTCCAAGTTCTAAATGAATTTCCCAAAACTCATCTTTAATAATATCAACATGTAATATTGGAACACATTTTTTCCCCTTGTAACTTCTAAACCTTTTTGATTTATGGTTTTTTCTTCAATCTATTTATAAGTGATAGAAATAGAGATATTAAACATTGTAATAATATAACATTGTAAAATAACACATGCATATTTATATAAAATACCTTTTGATGAATT